CGAAGGTGGCCTACAAGTGTGCCAAGGGCAAGCTGACCTTCATCGACGCCGAGCACTCCGGCAAGAAGACCCCCGTGTGCTGCATATACGACTACCACAACTTTGGGGGAGGCTCCAACAGCTACCACCACTGATTGAGGGTGGCGGAAGGGGACACACACACGCCCTCACTGGTCTGTCTCGTTGTCTTCTTCATGTGATTAGTCTGTCTGTAGTACCAGCTGGTGCCTTGATTGTTTCTTTCTGTTTCTTTCTGTGACGAGATGTGTGTCGTTGTTAATGGTATGCCGTCCGTGTTGTGTTGTGGTGTTCCGTTCCACGCCCATAGTATGGGGCAAATGAATGACATGCGCGTGGGGTGGTGGGGGGGTGCGTGGTGGATGTGTTTGTCAAGTGTTGTTTGGTGGTTAATGTGCGTGGTCAAGCCGATGGTGTGGTGGTTTGGAGTCCTGCGGCAGACGGATTAGTGCCCTAGTCGACACGTGCCCACAGACAGACAGACAGACGAGCGTGTGGATATGTGTGTGAATTAGGTCATCCATCGCGTGACACCAGGGAGGGAGGGGAGGGAGGCAATGAAGACAGGGCCGGGGAGGGAGGGGGGGGAGGACTGTATGTTCGCGACGTTGCTTCAGCTACACGAGACATGACACTTCTTTGTTGACATGCCATGCACTCTCGCCATTCAATCGATGCATTGGAAGCTCAACGAATGTGTGACCACATCACTGACATGCTGCAGGTCTGTCTGTCTGTCTGTAAACGTCATCAGCATCACTCAGAAGCCATTGGATGAATTAATCATGTGTCAGTCAGAAGCTGACGGACTAATTAAGTATACACGGGTAAATAAAACACAGTGATTCACAGACAGACAGACAGACACGCAAAGCAGCAACAGGGGGATGCATGGCACCCAGCCAGCCAGCCAGCCAGCCATTCATTCATTCGACAGGCCCACCCAACCATACACACACATCGACACAGCAGACCAGCACTCACACAAAATACAAACATTGTACCGTAGCTCTTCTCAGCTACCTAAGCTAGGCGGCACATATATGCCCACAAACCAACAACACGACAGGACAGCAGCAGACAACACAGACAGCAACACCCACGACCAGCTCCTGCCCCTGTCAGCCGCGGAAGACACATTCGGCTGCTGCATTGATGGAGGCACGGGAGCCGCATCCGTATCGACAGTCTCCTTCTCTCTCTGGCCATCCTGCTGCTGCTGCTGCTGCTCTCGCCCGGTTGGTTCCTTCCCGTTGCCCTCTTCTAGGAACTCCGCTGGCTGAGGCGGTGGGGATACACCCGCCGCCTCCTCACTATCAGCTGCTGCACCGTCGCCCCCCTCTGCGCATGACTCATTGGCCGTGTCGACGTCGGATGCGTCGGTGGAAAGGATGATGAAGCCCTCGGGGGGCATGTCAACGCCTGAACGAAGAGGGAGGAGGGAATCGCATGACACGAGGAGTCAGCTGCTCCGTTCCGGCGTTCGTCATGTCGTTCGCTGGCTACCATTGAGCAGTCCGTCTTCGTCGATCTTGACGAGAGCTTCCCTGTTCTCACACTTGGAGGCCTCGTGAGACCAGTACGACGCACCGAGATTGCAGTAGCTGCCCTGAAAAGGGAAAGACAGAAATGATGATATGGGCGTGAGCGGCCTCTTCCCTCTCCACTGACCTTTGGCAGCGCTGTGGAGAAGGTGAAGTTGGTCGCCGCCAGTGAGGGGTGGAAGTTGAGGGCCACCCACCCCCCACCGTCACACCTGCCTCCGCGCCCATAGGTGAGCACAGACTCCTGCAGCTCCGCCTTGGCCGCTGGGGCATCAAAATTATTAACCTCCACCAGAGGGCCGTCACCCATGGCCTTCCGCAGACGGGGCAACGCTGATCGATCCCCACACAGACGGATGCACAAACGTGATGAGGGTCTGCATCTCTCTGTGTCGTGTCGGTGTGTCCCTCACCGGCCAATGCCGGCAGTCGGTGTTCACAGTTGAAGTGCGTCCCATCCGTGTCGATCTGCGGCGTCGCGTCCCAACTACGGTGGCTCTCGAGCACGTCGCCCCACAGCAGAGGAGCCGACCCATTGTGCTCGAATGACGGGCACTCGAGGGCAGACTCGGGGCTGTCCTCCTCATATCTCGGTGGGCCCACCCAGCCATGCTCGTCAAATATGTCCCCCGTCAGCTCGATCAGACGGCGCGGCCAATCGTAGGAGGAATACAGCCTGCACACACAACAACAACACCGCCACCACCACACCACACCACACCACACACCATGCGATGGGTGCATCCACGTGTGTGTCTGCAAAGATGGCTGTGTGCCGGTAGGTAGGTTGACCGTGGTGTGCCGTATGGCATTGTGAAGGTGAAAATGGTCAGCAGGACCCACTGGTTGGGGTGGCTCCAGGGCGACAGCATGTCCAGCTCGCAGCTGCTGTCGTTGTTGTGCAGCATCATTCCCTCACCGCTCTCAACCAACTCTGCACCATATCCCCAGGGAGAGAGAGACACACACCGATGAATGCATTGCATTGCATTGCATTGGTGTGTGTGTGTGTATCTCGGAGACCTGTTCCGTTTTGGCACTTGTAGTCTTGTATGGCCGACATACCCACTGACCGCTCCGTGTCATGATTCGACACGAACGTCACTGCATTGCCAGACGGCAACGCATACCACGCTGCACCACCATTGATAAACAGCCACAACACGATGCAGTGCAGCCCATCCGATGGTTCCAACACCTCTCCGCTTACATGAGTACTCGACCATGGCCTTCTCACTGAACCACTGCGGCAGAGTGTTCATGGCGAGGCACCTGCTCCCGCCCTCCCCCTCCCCCTCTGCCCCATCCTCCTCCTCCTCCCATATGTGCCGGGCCTTCCACGGACACAGACCGATCTCCCGCAGCCGGAAGGCCCAGTGGAAGAAGGTCACATTCGCACCCTCGTTGCCTCCTATGTTGATGTAGTCGGTGTTCCGGAGGCCCTCCTGGGGAGCCGAGAAGGTCGGCAGCACCTGCCACACAACACACACAACGCACTCCCATCATGACCGCGCTCCGTGACTGAGTGTGTCACGCCGATTTGGGATGCTCAGCCCAGCCTACCTCCGGCAGGATGAATGGCCGTTTCCCCGATGCCGTCTGGTCCTGTGTCTTCTTGGCGACGTCGGGCAGGCCGTCAAAGATCTTATCCAGGTCGCCGGGCCACATGTGTTTGGCCGCATCGACGCGGAAACCGCCCACACCCAGCTCAAGAAGGGCCTCCAGCCGACTCCTGAGCAGCCTCTGCACTTTGGGCGACTCGGTCTTCATGTCCGGCAGACCCGACAGCCCACAATCCTTCACCTGCACCCATCCAACGAGAGCCGACACACGACACATGCTCGGCACACAGGCAGGTGTGCATGCGGAACACACCTGTTCGGCGTCGCCGTAGTCGTCGATTCCGCAAAGGTGGAAGTCCTCCTGCGTAAGGCTGAGGTGGGGAAAGGTGCTGTTGGGCACACACAGCTCCACCGAGGGGTCGAATATCTTGGCTGCGGCGGGGCATGGCGGGTACTCTTCGTCGTGAAAGGGGAGGGATGTGGCGGTGTCGCAGCAGTTGTCCATGGCGGCCAGGTGGTTCATGACCACATCGGCTATGATGAAGATGCCGCTGTCTGCGCACCGGTCGACCATGTTGCGCAGCTGGGTCTCGTTGCCCAGCCGGGAGTGGAACCGCCACGAGATGGGCTGATACATCTCCTCCCTGCAGAGTGAATTGCACACACGGGATGCTGCCCACACACTGGCACCTGCAGTGCACTGACTGATGTTATGTGTGTTGCTTACCAGGGGTATATCTGTTTCTCGCCCAGGTCAGTCTCCCTATCCCCATTGATGCGCACGTGGCTGAAGACGGGGCTGATCTGTATGGCCGTCCAGCCATCACGGCCCAGCCTGCCGCACTCCTCTGCGATTGCGTCGTACGGCCACGCGAAGAGCTGGAGCAGAGATGCGGTAGATGCATCCGCTGGGCGAGAGAAGACCACCAGCAGCCACAGCAGCAACTTGAAGGCCCGAGTCAATAACGGCGCCCGTACAAAGCAAGAAGCCATTATGGTGGAAAGGGACAGTTCCTCACATCTGGCGCTCTTGGCGCAGTGTAAGGATATGAAAAAGCCTCTTGCACCTTCTTGGGTTTTTGCGAGCTGAAGAAGGAGGGCTCACTTAGCTCGCAGATGACAAGAACGGAGATCTGGGAAGCGCCACCGTACCAGGCTGCTCGTGTTGATGGCGTGAGGGTAAGGCAGCGAAGGATCCATTGAGATCCGCCGTGCATCACTCATCGCGTGTGTATGCGGGTTCCTGTTCAGGTCCATGCAGCAGTTGATGGATCTCTGAGGAGTCAGCTGTGGTTTGCTGAATGAAGTGGTGGGGTCTGCAAGGCTGGGCGCTGCTCGACAGCCTCCTGTCGGCACCACCAACGTCGGCACTCGACACGCCGCCGCTGGACCACCATCAGCATCATCGGCATTATGCTGAGGGGGCCTCGGCCTTCATCCCAATCAGCCCGTCGCTGGTGCCGCGGGCGACCTCATTTCGAAGGCGCATCAGGCGGCACTGTACAGTCCACTATGCCTCGGAGGCATCGACGGCCACCGGCAAGAAGCGCGGAAGGAGGAAGCAGACCGGTGACGGTGATGGTGACGGTGACAGTGACGGTGACAGTGACAATGGGGCAGCCGCGGCTGTCGACCTTAGGACAGCAAGCAGGCAGAAGAAGACCGCCTACAGGCGGCTGAAGGTGATCAAGAAGTACGCCAACTCGGCATCATCTGCTGCTAAACCATCGTCGGGCGCAAGTACAAGCCCACCAGCCGTCCCCCTGCCGCCGCTCCCCTCCCC